TTTGTGTACAGGTGAGTATAGAGAACAACCAGTGTCCCATCATTGAGTTTATGTACAGGTGAGTACAGAGAACAACCAGTGTCCTATCATTGACTTTGTGTACAGGTGAGTATAGAGAACAACCAGTGTCCCATCATTGACTTTATGTACAGGTGAGTACATTGAACAACCAGTGTCCCATCATTGACTTTGTGTACAGGTGAGTACAGAGAACAACCAGTGTCCCATCATTGAGTTTGTGTACAGGTGAGTATAGAGAACAACCAGTGTCCCATCATTGAGTTTATGTACAGGTGAGTACAGAGTATAACCAGTGTCCCATCATTGAGTTTTATGTACAGGTGAGTACAGAGAACAACCAGTGTTCTATCATTGAGTTTATGTACAGGAAAGTACAGAGAACAACCAGTGTCCCTTCATTGAGTATAGGTGAGTACAGAGAACAACCAGTGTCCCATCATTGACTTTGTGTACAGGTGAGTACAGAGAACAACCAGTGTCCCATCATTGAGTTTATGTACAGGTGAGTACAGAGAACAACCAGTGTCCTATCATTGAGTTTATGTACAGGTGAGTACAGAGAACAACCAGTGTCCCATCATTGACTTTGTGTACAGGTGAGTACAGAGAACAACCAGTGTCCCATCATTGAGTTTATGTACAGGTGAGTACAGAGAACAACCAGTAGCCCACTATATATATGTTACCTAAATACATTGAAGAAACAGACAAAAATTCTCTCACTGTGTCAATGTTTTATGCCTCAAACAAGGTCAAGGTCACTGTTGCTATTTTTAGAAAAACTTTGTCATCGTTCTTTCAACTTCATTCCTTAACAGAATTTCGTGAAACTTGACATATATGTTTGCCATGACAATACCTTCAACAGATGCAGTTGTTAGAGAAGTTACTGTTATATCATTGAATTTTATATTCATTTCCTCATACATATGGCACACAATGATATGTGTGAATGCGAGGGTATGTTTATCACGTGTGATGCCTTGTGTATTTAAGATTTGATATTTTAAAATAAATACGAAGTTGTGATTTAGGTTACATTATGTTACAGACAGGGCCAGCTGTTAAATGTGAGAGGAGAGAAGACATCAGAAGTGTCATTTTTCAAAGCTCTGTCTGAGGGTGTAGCACACTGGTCTGGGGCTAAGTTGGTGGACTACTGCTGTGCTGAGAGTGTGCTGGTAGAGCCAGAGGGTCAGTGGAAAGTTCTGGCAGGATCAGCCATGCTGTTGTTTGTTAACTAATTCAAATCAAAGGGAAGAGAAACAAATGTACTCAAACCAAAAAGATGATAACAGATTGAATTAATGTACATGTACATACAGTAGCCAGGCTATTGAGGTTAAGCAAATGAAGTGTTGTTTCAATGATGATTACCAAGATGAAAGAATAGGTGGTTCCCTCTCTGGTTCAACACTTTTACAAGTTTAAAATGTTGGTCTGCAAAATACCACGAATATCAACATGATCTTCATCACCAATATTCAAATTTAAGCTGAATTTCTCTTTAGAATGAGATTAAAAACAATTATAAACTTTCTAATATTTTAAACATCAATTTGATCTTACATGTTGTCCTGAACACTTACATAAAACATGCTGTGATGCTTACACCCTCAGATCCAAAGAACAAAGAGAGTTATGTGCCATTTTACCATGTATTTGTTGAACTGGAAGTAGAAAATCCGAACTTTGTCTTGTCAAAGGATCAAATGGACCTTGTAAGTAAATAATTCTTCTAAGTCTGGGTCTATCTTGTTTGATGTCAACTTGTTACTGAAAATATATAGAACATTCAAAGCAATCCTGAATTTCAGTTTTTTAATATCTGTTTTCTTTGAAAACTGGAATTAGTATGGAAGTACAGGATTAGCAAGCTTTTAATTCACCAAAAGTGACTAATAAATGAATATTTTTTTTGTAGGGAATAAGAATTTATCAACATTTTAGGTAATGTTTTATATGAAGAACTACATACAATGTATGATCATATGAGATAAAAGATCTCATATCTTCTAACCTCGGATCTGTGTTAAAATAAGAAGATCATATTCAATTTTGCCGTATTAATGTTTTGATTATCTCCCTTTACAGGTCGAGGAGTCGTTATGTAAGCAGTCTTATGTATACCAGTCATTCAGGAAGAAAGGCAGTATTCGTCCAATGAGAATTCACATTGTTAGCCCTGGTACATTCCAAAAGCTCAGGGAATTCACCATAGCAACGACCTCTGCTTCCTCCAATCAGTACAAAGCTCCCCGTGTCCTGAAGAAGAAGGATGCTGTGGAGGTGGTGATGAAAAATGTGGTTAAAGAGGACTCCAATTAACTTGCCAGTGTCTGACCAACTTCAAAACATGATTAAATCATGGCTTTTGATATCTATACATTCTTTCAATATACTCTTATTCATATAAGCTTCTCTCATTTTAAGAAGCCAAAATATTCCTATATTTATAAATTTCATATTAATTCATGTATACATATTGTGAATCTTCAAAACATGTTATACCATAAAGTATTTTGATATCCTTGTCATAGATATTTGCTATTTGATACTGAGCATTAAGGTCTGGAGTTCTTTATAGGTCATGTAGTATTACACTAATGAAGTTAGACATAAGATTTGTGGATTTGAATTGATTTTACTGCATACCTAGATGTCCTTCAGATCGTGTGGTTTGTTCATATCTGGCATAACTGTGTCATTATTTGTTGTGTATACTCTAGATCTTCACTTGGTGCTTTCAACTCGGCTTGTAATCAAATAATAAATACCATTATTTTCCTTCTTGTAAAGTCAGAGCACATCTTGTTCTTCCAGTGTGGTTTTTCTCTCATTGATTTTGGTAAAATGGGACTATTTTTCTGATCACATGACTTTTCAAAAACTTGAAACACTCTCTGTATACAAAAAAGTGGTGTCAGAACTTCCATTTAAAGTGTCACCCTAGTAAAGTACTGGCCTCTTCCTACCGACTAGGCTAGGGAGAATTTCTCTTTAGCTCATTCAGGACACCGTAAGACTAGTAAACCAGAGGTCCTGAGTTCCACTCCTGGCGGAGGCATTGACAAAATAATGACTTCTGTTACAATAGATTGCAGGGTGTTTAACTAACCGTATTAAGACTTATAAGTGTACCCCCACCACTTAATTAAAACCTGTATAAAGATTGTATACTTCACTAATCTGCCAATATCTTCAGTCTTTTGGCCTATGACTTTGTGCCTTTCAGCATTACAAGGCAATATAAGCTAGTGCACGTGGTCTAGCATCATTTTCTGATTAAAGATTATGCCAATTGTCTCAGTAAAGTTATTTAATTTGTCCCTTGAAAGATTGCACATTTAAACGTTTCAAGTCCAACTGATCCAAAACAGCATCACATTATTGCTCACTTAGTCATCTAGATTCGCCTGTTAAAAGAGTTTCACTGAAACATGACCAGTTACATCTATTTTTGAACAGGAAATTCTACTCCTGCAAGACCTTGCAAAATCTCCCAGATACATGACTCGCTCCTGTAGCAAAAACGAGGCAACCATGAACAAGTCTGGAAGGCTGATTCCAGCCAGCTTCATTACATATGAAGCTCACCCTATTGTGTCTTTATAAGTGTATTGTGTGCTTACTAGGTTGAATACGGTAATGCTATTTCTCGCATTACCATATTTGGTTAATTTGTAATGTTTGAACACAACTCTGTAACAAAAATATCAATGTATAATTGGAGTGGTGTCTTTTTGTTTAATCTCTAGTTACATTGTAGTACCTGTAACAGGGAAGAGGGTATTGTTGTCTGTACTGTAAATAAATGTAACAGCATTCTCTTACTTTACAACTTCCTCAGCATCCCATTAAAGAAGTTTTTCTGGTTCATGTTTTCACAGATATATTTATGTTAACCCTTGATTTGTATTTTTTTTTTTACTGGTATGTAACAGTCATATACTCATCTGATATACCTCATGATTGTTTACTTTATCAGTCTCACATTTAAAACTGCATAATAACCCTTATAGTTTTTTGCATCTACCATATTATTTAAAGACAGATTGCTACATATTTCATAAAGGTTCATTTGCAGTATTTTTGATTTATTTTATATTTTACAACAAAGTGTTTGGTAAACTTTACTAACAGCAAAGTATTTTATATTTGTTTTTTTCTACCTCTGTGAATGTAAGGTGAGCATGTCTCCAAGGAACAATCATAAATAATATATAGACAACAGCATGTGTTCATCTTGTGCCTGAGATCGATTGCACAAGGGCTTAGTCAGAATGAAATATATCTATTTTTACAGTAATTGACTGCAATCTGACATGTCGGATAATGGAATATGTGTGGTTTTGTTTTATCACATGCCTACAAATGTTCTGTATACATACATATCATATTTTCTAACTAATGTTATTCTGTAATTGTGTTCCATTAGCTTCCGAAAACTTGAACAAGACAAAACAATAATGAGGATGAAATAATGATATTACATCAACATAACCTAAATTTGCATTTAATTATTCAGATCCCATTCTTGTTTCAATACGTCGCTTTGATTTGTGGATAACAACTGACAAATTTCGGATCAAAAGAAGTTCTGGCTACTAGGGAAATCTTGTAGAACATGTTATCAGTATATATGGGAGTGTGAAATCCTGTACAACATGTTGTATTACCAGTATATATGGGAGTGTGAAATCCCGTACAACATGTTGTATTACCAGTATATATGGGAGTGTGAAATCCCGTACAACATGTTGTATTACCAGTATATATGGCAGTGTGAAATCCTGGACCTCGCATGTCCTGGCTTGAACACTGGCTGTGTCAGTTAGTACCAGGAATGTTATAAATAATTTCTTTACACTCGACAGCTGTGTCACATATTTCCTGGCTTGTCTTTGATATCCATGTTTCACCCTAGGGTTGAGATCAGAAATTTCACCAGTCATAGCAATAACATAATGTCATGTCAACAATGCATTCATGTAACATCACCATTTTGTATATGATAGGGCCAACAGGTTAAGAGAAAAGAATCGCCCTCTCACTCCCACCCTAGTGAAAGATTCTATAAATAGAATAATCCCACATGTGTGTACTCATTGACCTCTACTTCAATAATGTTACAATGTGATGACAATTAATGTTATATACCATGTCACATTTGAAAGTATGGCAAACCATCCTTTAAATGACTATCATAAGTGATTTTGCCGTCAACCACCGACACAAATACATGAAAATAAAAGTAAGTGCACAATCTTGTCATGATGGATATGTATGGAATGCTGTGCTTTTTTTCTGCACTTTCCAAGTATGGTTTTCTGTGTTTGTTATCTACCATTTTGCTTTATTTAGTGTTACTCCTACATTGTTGATGTCGAGCTTTACCAATAAAGTGACACTATTAGTAATGGCTATAATAACGGATTATTACAAAAAAATTCTAGTAAGACTTACATTTGATATGTATGTAAATTTGTGTTCAATATTAAAAAAATAAATCCTTCAAGTAGAACAATGATCAATGACAACAGTGAGAATATTCATTTACAAAGATAGGGTAAGTAAGGACCTTATCAGACCCCAGAATATTGGGAAACAAGATGCCCAGAGGGCCTGTATCACTCACCTGGATATATTAATCAACCATTATAAATTATTCTCAATAAAAGTTATTTTCCAAATATTTCCTTACATTGAGTCTACTTGCCTGAAGAATGTTCCAGAGAAAATGAAACTTTATACTACTATCCAAACCTGCAACTAGAATAAAGATATGTCTCCCCTTATTAGCCAATAGACAAACTTCGGTATAAAAAATTAACGAAGGGCCATATCTCTTTATATAGTGGGGCATGAGACCCGAATTTAGAATAAGACACTCCTACTTCCCAAGATACATTAAAATTTTAGCAAATTTGGTCAACGTAGGTGAAATAACATGAGAGTTATGCCGTGGACAAACTTAGGTATTAAAATAAACAAAGGGCGATAACTCTGTATATAGTGGGGCATAAACCCTGATTTTAGTGCGAGAGATTCCGCCTCCCCAAAATACATAAATATGGTAAGTTTGGTCAACGTAGGTGAAATAACATGGAACTTATGCTCCGTACAACTGAACTTTGTTTTTTGTAGTATTGTTAAGATTCATATTGTAAGCTCTACATGTAGTTGAATTGTTTTGTTGTAAAGGGTTATGAGACTAATCTTGTCTCATTACCTATTCAGTTTATTTTTGGCTCGTCAATAAAAGCTTCTCAAAGAATTTTTGTCATTTTATCTTTAAGATAGGCGGACTGTCTGGACATAGAGAATAATACAGTATCAACCCTCGACCAATATCTGCCCCGGGCTGATATTGGTTGAGAGTTGATATGGAAAAAGGCATGTTTTATTCTGTTCATTACATACTTACTAATAAAAGCTACTATCTTATGATCTATTGTGTGATACGGCGGGGGTTGATACAGATTTTGGGGTGTGATACGGCGAGGGCTGATATGGGTTAGAGCAATTGTGTCTTATCGCATATATACAAAAAAAACGTATTCATTAGTAAGTATGTAATAAAATGTTTTACTGTACTGTGATAGATGTTCTTCATTGCCATATTAATATAGTAGTGTTTCTTTCATCAGAACACTTTTCCAGTATATTTACATGGTTGATATAATTTCAAATGCACACTAGTCTGCTTATAACCTTTAAAAAATATTTAGAGACTGCAAAACGTTTTATACATTTTTTTTTAATTTTCAACTTGCAATTGTGACAACATTTTTGTTTATTACAAATATGTACCTGTACATAGGAACACACTTAAGACTCATTAATATCAGAAAACAAAAAGCAAACAGGATCAAAATGCTTCAGAAAAAAAAAAATCACCAAATTGAGAGCAATAGTATGCACCAAATCACACATAACATGTTATACCACCTTTATACTGAGACAGACAACAAATACTTTATATGGCAACGCTAGTGTGAACTGTTCATTAACAATAATGATAACTGTTATAAATGAATGTTAATGCATAGGTTTAGCTTTTAATTGTTCCTGTGAATATTATCAAGTACAGGAAATCTAAATTAAGTATGAGGCAAAAGCTGAATTTTATTATATTTTTTATGTACAAACCATCAATTATGAAACGTAGCATATGTTGATAGTATCAACTGCGCAGGATTCTATACAATTTGACAATTTAAATACATGGGACACTTCGGTAAAAGGAAACCATTTGATACTTTAAAACTGGTATTGAAGCCAGAAATATATTACAATTAGGTATTTAAATATTGATTGCTAAAGTATTTTCAGGATAAAAAGCAAACTAGTGGTAAAATGTTATTTTTAGGGACTGATGTATTGATTTAACAAGAATGTGTACCTGAACAAGTCTAGAATTTCAGTTAAATACAAAAAACATTTTACACAGCGAAGCAACTGAAGAACATACAAATGTAGGTGCTTGTAAGATAAAAGCAAAGAGGACATCCTATTATATAATTAAACATCGGTAGCATACTCGGTTAACTTGACAGTTCTTGGATAGCATACCAAGGTGAATGGGACTTGTTGGCCTTGCATGTACAAAATGTACACATGCCAGATCAAACTGGTCAAGAACTGTAATCATATTAATGATGGGAACAACAAAAAAGGTCTTCGATCCTGGATAGTCTAAATTATAGAGTCAACCACTGTAAGGAAAAGTTATATCGTGTTTAACGGTCCATGTAAAGCTACATGCTTTGACTGCAGCAGTGCTGTGCTGGAGGGCAATATATATATATAGCCCATCAAACAGAAAACAATAGGAAGGCAGTATATAGCCCACCAAACAGAAAACAATAGGAAGGCATGCAATATATAGCCCATCAAACAGAAAACAATAGGAAGGCATGCAGTATATAGCCCATCAAACAGAAAACAATAGGAAGGCATGCAATATATAGCCCATCAAACAGAAAACAATAGGAAGGCATGCAGTATATAGCCCATCAAACAGAAAACAATAGGAAGGCATGCAGTATATAGCCCATCAAACAGAAAACAATAGGAAGGCATGCAGTATATAGCCCATCAAACAGAAAACAATAGGAAGATAGCAGAACCAACTGCACTGTGGAGGGCTGTTAGATGAATGATCTGCAATTAATGTAAGATTTTTTTTCATCTGACATTCATATCTTAGTTAATTACTCCACTTACAGACAACATTCTGTAGTATATTAAT